AATTTTACCTCATTTCATATCACACTCGGACAATTCATTAAAACTGCCCTCGACTTAAGACAGCAACACCTCCAAAATTGTTAACCCTTAATGCATTAACGCATCATTATTGTTATTACTTTTTTAACAATGGTTTCTTCTACCTTTATTATTGCTGTTAGTGGGATTTATTACTATTCATGTTTTTTTGTTTGTTTTTATTTCGATTATTAATATTATTTTTTTAATGTTTTGTATTATTAGTCTAGTTTTGTTTAGTGTAAATGTAACCATTTTAATTCCTCCTGGGGAATTTTACGTGTTTAATAAAGTATAAGTGTCATCACAGTGTTGACAGATTCTTTCATTGACTCAGGCTGGTACATTAGAATGACAACCGCGTTCAATTTGTAGCGAGTGGTGACTTAATGTGCACGAAGTGCAAGTATATTTTTTAAGCAGCTTCTGAATTTATCTTTTACGTTATCACAAAATCGAGAATTCGTCTAAAATAATGTGCTCACATTGTCACACACTTCTGTTCAATTTAAGACATATTGCACTACAAGCGTCGTGCTTCGATTTTACGGATAAATCTCTCACGCATTGATAACAATATCGATCAACTGCATTTAAGATTCGACAGCCGAATATCCGGTGCCATTCAACCTCAGACTTCTTCAGTAGTCTGAGATTCAACGCAACAGCTAGACTGGCAATCTTATTGCTTTAAAATTATAAATTCTTACAAGAGTTTGCAGATTTTTTTGCATTGATGCATTTTGCATTTTCGCGTTGGACCAAAATTTAAAAAAAAATATAGATTGTCATAGCTGGGTCAGTCTATGCAACAGATAGTGAAGGTGTTTCGCATGGGAGTAGATTTACTAGTAGTTGAATGTAGTACAGCATAACCCAATGAATTTGTAGCTACCTGCGTCATATCCGCTCTGTCAACTAAGTAAGCGCCCGTGATTTGTAAACATGGCATAATGCTTCGAGAATTCACCAAACCAACAGACCCAACTACGAGGGCGCCATAGATTGAGATCATTCAGTTGTCATAGTGCCAAATTCCAGAAATTCTGTTGGACGCGTGTACCAATGTTTTCACTACAGCGATCGACATTGTGTGTGTTGTTATACACCTTGTTACTCCTATGGTGTGGTTTTCTTGTACAAATATTATAACAATCAAAATTAGCTAATACATAAGAGGACATCTCCAGTCACGATAGTCTTTCCCCATGTACTGTACCGGCAGAAAAATTCCAGGCTTAGTGCGCCCTCAATGTCAAACTAAACAAACGTTAATAAGTTTTAAATCACCAATTATGTGAAAACATGGCACATTCTGGGATGTTCATATCCAAATTAGAATGTGCACGGTGCTTCTAATTCATCCATGGGGACGACATAATTTTTTTTTCGTGCAAAGTTTAACTGTAAGACTTATCACAATTCCACAACAGCGCGATTAAAGCGCGGTGGTCGTAGCACAGCGCGTGTTCGAATTTCACGTAAATGTATTTTACACGCGTTGTATACGTAGCTATGAGTCCCATATCGAACAGGACGCGGCACGACAGCCGCCCTTTAACCATGGCAAGAGGTTGCCACCTCCACAATTTGCCTATTGCATATGCATACTGAATTGAACTCTGATCTCATGTTGAGCTATGGCGTACTTCGGGAACAGATCGCTGAAATCCCCCTCCCTGGGGGGTGAAACATAGCTGGGAAGGGATGTCGCTCCGAGTGCTCAAAGTGTGACCATTTTTATACGTGGATGGTGGCAAAATCTATACCCATATTTATACCAAAGTTCCATTTCTGTCATCACGGTTTATCTCAAATGAAAAATTTACCGTATTTGCTCTATTAGAAGAGCATCTCCAATAGAAGCGCACATTAGCCGACAGCATTGTATATTGATTTATCAAAATATGTATTGATTGCCTTGTTTTATTTCCGGGTTGATGTATATATGGAGGATCTGAGGTGGAGAAAGTCGCTGATATACGAACCCATAAGTATACCAAATCAAGAAAATATTACCAATATTTATACCTATCTTGACCAGAAATAAGACAGATACTTATACCTAAAATCCAAAAAAACGAGGCGCATTTCAGGGGCACGTTCCCATTGGGCGAGTTCTATGTATTAAGAGCCCATAATATAATTCATCATCAAAATTTGAAGTGCCATTTTAAATGTATAAATTTTAATGTTTTACGTCTCAATAGTTATAAAGTTTGGTCAAACCTCAGACACTATAGAGGTCCGACTATCTACACATCTCAGGAAAATTCATTCAGCCAAAACCATCCAATAAGTCAAATATATGTCCAATGATTTTTCAGAACAAAAAAACAGCGTCAAGTTTGATAAATTTTCGTCAAATTGAACTTCAAATCGTATCTTGGGTATATTCATGAGGCTATGGAATAAATCAAATATTATATAATTTTTTCAGCAAAGACGACAGACTGGTGTCAATATTGATCAATTTTTGCAAACTATAAATAAGTATTAATTATTCAGTAATATATACCGGGTAATATATACACAAGTTTTATTAAAATTTCAGTTTCAAGTTCGATCAAGTTTAGTGAAACATTAATCTACATTCAGTTGTCAATATATATATATCAATTTTCGCTAAACTTTAAATAATCACACTTTTCTAATTTGTTAAAATGCAAATATATCATGAAACTCAATGAAAATATTTTTTTTTGTAATAATAGTAAATCATTCATATTTCAAACATGATGATGTTAATGGATATAGCATCACGAATCCCACAGGTTTTGCTGTTTCTATGTCTCACGCATGAATGCAGCTCCCATCAAGTTCTGGTAAAATTGTTATTCAACGACTCGTAACCCAAATTGGTCACTAAGCCATGATTGTAAATATCTATATAGGACTATGTAAGGAGATTTTATCAATGAAAGGTCAAAGAACAACAGAGGAAGTGCACCACCAATTAACTAACAAATACCGGTGTACTTGGTCATACAGTGAACACTGTTTTGGATTTCAGAATAATAATATACGAAAGAATGTATCCTCACTCTTTTCACAATTTTGTCTGCACAGTCAAGCCATGAAACTATAGAAGAGGGCGAAACAAAATGTCCCCTTTGGTTAAGTTAAATACTGTGCTGACAAAACAGAATAATTGTAAAAAAAGTCCAAAAAATGATGAAAATGGGCACAAGTAGAACTATAGATCCAAAGCTAGGCTTCCACACAGTCCAAACTTCAAAATACGGTTCAGATTTACAAGTTTATGATTAGTACTTCAAAAAATTTATTGAAATTCATAAATGGCCCTAACTTGACAACTGGGATAAACAACAGACTGACTGACTGACTAAAAGAGTGGTCTGAATCATCAAACTACAAGCCTTTAAACCACAACCATAATGTCACACCATTGTATTTTCTCTCAGGAAAATGGATGTTTCTGATCTGAAAGTTAAAGTGCAACTTTCTCCTCAACTTTTTTTTTCTAGTGGCAAGCAACCCCATGGCTTTAACTCTGTTTTCTTATATCATCCAAGTCATGAAGTGGTCACTCTACTGACCAAGAGTAAGCAAGTGGCCCGTGATTACACTTGCATGTATCTGTTTTTTTTTTTATGCTCATCATTAAAGACAATACATAAATTCAGAAGCCACTACTGAAATGTGTCAGGGGTACAATTTTAGCACCAATATTGAAAAATAAATCCAATCTTAATAAAGTTAACTTAGACATTTAAAGGACTATCGAGATATCAGTGAAACAACATGCTCACAAACAGGGTAAACATAAATGCCCAAAACATTGCATCTTTATTTACAGTAAAGGGACAGGCAATTACTGCAACCCTGTCCAAGACAAAATCTGTCTAATTGTTTTAAACTCCACCTTTACACAGTTGTATGGCTTGATGTACGCGTTCTTTTCCGTCTTTTTCTTTTTCTCTGTCCCTCTTTATTTTCATCAAGACGCTTAATCTTCTTTTTTTTACATGACAAAGGGTTAGGTCCTTTCGCTATTTTCCGCCTTCTCTGTATTTTTGTTTCTATTTTATCAGTACCAACGAATGATTTCAACTTTTTTATTGTCTCGTGTTCTTGCTGTGATGGTCTTATTTTTTTTTGTATAGATCTTTCAGCTGTTTTCGTCGTGATTATTGATGGTTTTGCAAAATTAATTGCATTGTTAATATACAGAAGTGGAATTCCTGCAACCTTTTGCATTTGACGAGACAACCCTGGGTCCTGTAAAGATGATGGTACAGAGAAACATTGTCAGAAACATTTTATTATTTACAACTATAAACTTACCATATTGTACTGTTCTGAGACATCTACAATACACAAAGCATTCATGCATGATGATCACAATCATTAGTAGGGTAAAATTAACCTGTTTCACTGCAGTACATAGTAGGTGTGACATTGGAATTAATTTGCATGGCTAAGAAGATCAATTGACTCCCAATCCTAGGTGATGTAGAGATCTTACAGACCTCCATCGTTTGAATCGCACAGTTCGTTGTTGCCGACTTACTGCCAACTCCACCAACAAATGGCGATGTGTAGCACGGTTACTTCAAAATTATTCTAGTAACGGTGCGTGCAGAGTGTGTTTAGGTCGTTTGCCAACCCCAAAAAACGGCGCTACATTTTTTCACCCTGCTTTCCACAATTATTTATGCCAACATTGCATGCATACTTCGTCAGCAAAGTGACAAATATTTATGTCGACCATGTTTTAAGAAAGTAATAAAACTGTCAACTCTGAAAGAAAATCTCAGAAACTCTACTCGACTGATCATTCAAGAGTTGAACTGTTGCACAATTTTCGCATTTTAAAAATAACACTACTGTATTTTGATACAAGATAACTGATTGGCCGTTTATTTTGTCGCATCTCCCCTCCTTGTCATTAAGAGCGGCTATTGAATACACACTGTCGTGGTTCAATCTGCCAAGGGTTAGTTTGGAGGGGTGACCCTAAAAATTCCTTGGCTGGCGAAGATGAGAGACCTCAGAAACAGTAACTTTCATTTAATCCCCCAAGTGATTAACACCCCACCCCCCCACCCGAGTTTCTCATTATCAACCCCTATATATGCTGCATATATACACAATAAGAGTGGGAACCTTCTCTGTTATGTAATACCTGTGTGGCCACGAAATAGTGGTGACTATTGTCTGCACCAATCATACTTTGTATACACTCTGCTGCTGGTACAGGGTTGTTCCTATGACCACATATACGTAGTTGGAATCTCTTTAAAACCAGCATTGCTCCATAAGTTGATGCTCCAAGAGATTCTGCTTCAAGAATACAGCATTGTGTTGTTAGTAACTGCATACAAAAATAAGACAGACATTATAATTGCAACAAGAACCAAAACATTTCCACTATCTACAGTTTTTGATCAAATTGCTTGAAAAAAATATAATTTTTTGAAAGTTGACAAAATTGCACATTTGGCATTCTTAGGGTTCAACTAGAAACCATTTTCAGTCATTTTTCTAGAAATTTTGTGAAAACCGGAAACATTGAGTGTCTCAATTGGTATGACTACTGAATTACATTTAAATTATTAACAAAATATTGATTCAGAGCTACTAGGCAACAAGTCTTAATTGACAAGGAACAGGAACATGATTTGAGCAAGTTTCAAGATGCTAGATTTTACTCACAACTGACCAAATAATACTCAAAACATTCAAAGGTATGACAATTTCCAATGGATGACCTTTCTTCACATAATTCATTAAACATATTACCGATAATAACGTATCTATGATCAGAAGTAAACTGACTAAAGATTCATAGGATATTTATATTTCTTGCAAATGCTACAATCTTACACACGGTAGATTAGTAAGCACATTTTTTTTCTTTTTCTTTTTTCTTTGCTTTTGTGTTTGTCTTTGTTATTATTTTAATTCTAGACCATTTTATAGTTGTAATTTTGTAGTATTTTTGTTATCGCTGATATTTTGAAATAGTACAGTTGTAGTATAGTTGTTAGCTTGTTAGAATTAGAATTATTAGAATTTGGTTTTACAATGTAAGGAATGTAACCCTTTTCATCCTTTCCGAAGGATGTTGTGTTCTCAATAAAGGTAAATGTATCACTTGGTATCTACATGTAGAAAGGTCATAAGTAACTTAAGCAGTTGTAGTTTTGCGGGTCATGTTTTAATAATTTCGCAAAACCGCAAAACCATGATTACGGTACATGCTTGAGAACTCAAAAATACAAAATATAGCAGTTTTTACTTTTGAGTATATAGGTTTTTACGTTAATTTGTCCCAGAATACTCGGCTTCTGGGGAATAATAATTCCCAGATAGAGTAATTGTGACAATAGATTTAAACTTGTTTTCATTGCGATATGAGGTTTGTTTCCCTATTTCTCAAATTACCACCAATGTTTCACTGTTCCTCATTTTGTTCAAACCCGGAATAATACCTTGTGCCAAGTGGTTGTAATTTCATGGGAATGTAATTGACTGCGTTTTTTTTTTTTTGGAGGGGGGGGGGGTTACTATACTTAGCCCATTAGTAGCAAAGTGATTGTCATGCTGGAGTGATCCCCCACCCCCTTTTTAAATTGGCCCATCCCTAAAATATCAACTCCCTTACCTGTATTTCACCTCCAAGGTACTTTGACATTTGGTCTTTGATATTGATTTTGAAATGCAGAGCTGCTTTACAAAATGTTCCATCAATTAGTATCTGGTGAGGTTGTCTGAAACCGTAGTTATGCCGATAAAAACTTAGATATTTCCTAGCTAACTTGTAGCGCTTAATTTTCATTTTTGAACTTGAGATTGAGAAGCACGGTCTGAGAAATTACTCTTATATTGAACCAACTCGTGAATTACCGGAAATGTCACGGATATACTAGTATGCGAATACTGTAGTAGATGAAGCAATTATAATGAATGGGTAGTGTAAACCAGACCACGGTAAGGTAAACAACGTGTTAAAACAGAAACACGCCGGACGCCGACATGAAAGCTGACATTTTGGAAATTGCATTCTGGGTAGATTAATAATGTGATATGTATTATTCTAGAGGGCAGATTAATATAACACAAAATTATATATCAGACATCATTCAACACTTTACGTTGTCGGTTTATTGGCATTAACAAGCATAACTAATGAACAAAGTGATCAACACCATAGGTACAGGACGCGCCTTTAGATCGGTAACCTCGTTCGACAAAATAATAATATTATCTTATTATTATCCTAATTTCAAACAATTTATAAGAAACCAAATATGCACGCTTATATATAAGATTATTAATATATATAATGAATTAACATGTGTATCTTAAAATTATCATTATTAAAATATTTTATATATTTATTTTTGTTCGCACACGAGCCCGAGAGTTCTCCAGTCTTTCAGTTTTCAAAATGGCGGCGAGTTCCCCGGTTGCACGTGTGCAAATTGACGGCTTGGTAAGTACCTTTTTGTTCACATATTTGTGTCAGTTGTGCTTAATAATATCAGATTTATGAGTATTGGCTATTGTACTAAATGTTGTGATATTGACCCATTGCTTATATTTGTATGTTACCGCACGGCAATGTAGTTGCGATCGCCTGTGTTGTGTTTACGATTAAAGCCTGACAGCTGACCCGTGGTTCTGAATAAATCCTACTAATGTAACATATTGATATTTCAACAACGGCTTTATAATGTTTGGAAACCGTTTTAGATGCTCAATAATAATTATAAGTACTACGATTGAACTCTTTTTGACAACAGGAGAAAATGGTACGCATTTTTTGCCATTAAGGAAATTGTGATTTTTTTTTAAAAATTTACTGAATGTCTCAAAATGAATTGTAGTAAAATTACCATTTTTTAGATTTGTGGGGAATATTTGCGATTTCTTGTTTTCTGTTCACAATTATCATATTTACTTTTACACTAGAAGGTGTAACAAATGCATTTCCTTGGCTTCGTTATTATAAATATTTAATATGTAGCTGGCAATACCTGGCGAACAAGCGCAGCCGACCAGTTTATTGATTTACTAAAAATAAAATTGACTCAACTATAGAACCTTGAAGTGAGTGAACTTTGGAGTCGAGTTATTAGTACACATGCGAGCGGGCGGGAGCGGGATTCAAGACGACACCATGCATAAATCTTGGGTCAGTCAAAACGCTATTCAAAATTCGACTTTTTTCAGTCAGTGCCAGAAAACAATTGCCTTATCAACATTCTAAGTCTTTTCATGAATGAGAAGTTTCGCTTCAAATAATTTGTGAAACAGCCAACAAAATGGTCTCACCCATTGACCGGAAATGCACCGTTTACAGACTCTTTGGCTATATATAGATTTCTTCCATACACTTCTTATAAACACATCTTATTCATAAAGTTCAGATGGGGGATGCTCACAAAGTGCTCGCTATAAACTTTTACAATTCAAACTAAAATAAATAAGACAATCAATGAGCACAGTGTGCAATAACATCATTTGAAAATGTTTCACTGTTATTCAATCGACCAATAACTGCAATTACAAGTATATATAATATGATACATTTTTAAATAGATGAAGGAATGCCTTTGTTTTGCAAAGAATAACATTTGTTTTTGAAATGTGAAGTCATAGCCTGACAAGGTCGTGTGAGTTGCTCCCTCCGTGGTGCTCCAAACCCAACACACGTTCAACAGAACGAAGTAGTTTTTCTCTTCCCTCGACAATTTTTTGAAGGTACCATTCAAATTGCAGGAACGCCAGATAGTGACAGCCATCAAAGAGTTTATTTGTTTGTTGACATAATGTGTGATAAGGTGCTGGCAAATTTCTGCCCAATGTTTATTATCTTGTTGAAAACAGTCTGATTTTTGTCGACAATGCAAACACAACTTTGATTGACAGTGTTACCATGGCAACCAAAGTGAATATTCATTGAAACTCATTGTAAAAAGGTGTGAACTTTTTGAATTCGCAGTATTGATCTTACACTATTCTCTGAGGCATTAGTGAGCTCTGATTCTGTTCGGCTGCCGACAGCACTACTCAAGCCAGCATCTCAGACTAAAGAAGTCGCTGATAGCGATGTAATGCTTATCGTGGAGTATCTAATTTGCTTGCTCTATCTTGCCCTGATTTGTACAAATGTATTTATTCAGACACATTGGGGGAAAATAAGGAATCATTATTAAAATAAAAATACTCTAAAATTGTTTTTTTAATTGTTTTTATTAAACTAATTCATGCATTAATTTGTATGGTTGAAATGAATGATTGTCATGACATGTCACGTCTGATTCCATGCAATGTATACAACACACATCTGTTGTCTTTTCAAAATTTAAACACTTACTCTGCGACGATCACTGTCCTTTATTCAAATTTTCATGGTGTACAATTCTTGGGTTAGAATTTATGCAAAGGGTCAGTGCTAGGGTTAATTAACAAATCAAAACATTGTTAATATGAATTGATGTTCTCTTTGTTTCTAATACTGATTCTACATATTGCAGGTTGTATTGAAAATTGTCAAACACTGTCAGGAAGAGAGTACTGGAGGCAGTGAATTGGTGCAAGGTGTATTATTAGGGCTTGTAGTTGACAATACATTAGAAATTACAAACTGTTTTCCGTTTCCACGGCATACTGATGATGAAGACTTTGATGAAGGTATGAAATCAATTCTCTAGGTTCCTCACAATCTTGAGACTATTGTCAGTGTTCTCCACAAGGGGTTTTAGGTGGGCAGCCCGCCCATCAAGTTTTATGACCGCCCAGTAACTCTCAACACCCGCCCACCAACGTACATCCAGCTGAAATTATTTGTAAAAAGCTTGCATTGTTCTGTTTCGATCATCAGTATCTGAATGTTAGGTGTCAAAATGCACACATTTTAGAATCCTTGGTTAATTAAAAATCAAAATAGGGTGCCAATGTTACATGTCAATTGTTTTTTATTTATGATAATTTGTGTCAACGACAATTGAGAAAAACTGCAAATAACCACTATAACTGCAAATCAGAATAGATATTTATGACAAACGCTGCATTTGTGAGACTTGAGTTTGTTGCGTTGTTGTCGCTATGGGCTAAACTATTATTACTCAAGTATTTGTTTTTGGATATAGAGATGACACACCCCTGAAAGACTTAGACTTTCGTTCATATATCACTGTCTTTGTGTTGCTAACAAAAGTGGATTACCTTTCGATCAATGCATGTTATTGCTTGAAATTTGTGCAAGATGAGACTGACTCTTAGCATCACGGATTCAGGGCAAGCATCACAGGCGAGTGTCCAAGTGCCACGTGATGCTTCAAAAGCCTGGGAGAAAGACCAGCGTAAATACTTTCTGACGGGTCTGTATATTACTGCAAAATTTAGTTGTTTTCTCTGTAATGCATGGTATTACCAAGTTGTATGTCATGTGGATATATTCTGACCAATCACAGAAAGTGATGATAATGATGTAATGTATGTCATTTTTTATTCTCCAGTACAATATCAAATGGAAATGATGCGGAATCTACGCCATGTGAATATTGATCATCTCCATGTTGGGTGGTATCAGTCAACGTACTACGGGGCTTTTATGAATAAAGCGTTATTAGATTCGCAGTTTAATTATCAACACTCGATCGAAGAATCAGTTGTTCTCATCTATGGTAAGACACATCTACTTGTATTTATTCTTTTTCAAAAATATATTTCATGCTGAGTAATAGTTAGTCTGACATGTAGGCGTGAGTGGCACCCTCACCGGCTGAACGGCATCAGACCCCACTAACACCTTGTTTCGTTGGCAAGATCAATACTGCAAATTCTCAAAGGTCACAATGGTCTTCTTGCAATGCTTTTCAATGAATTATCAAATCAAAAAAAAGTTGTCGGATGGTTGGGGGTGGGGTGAGAAACCACATCGTTCTCTCAGGCGTGTGTTGGGTTTGAAGTACCGGGCGCAACTCACACGACCTTGTCAGGCTAAGTAATAGTATGGAAACTGAATGATACGTGTCCTAATGACTATTTAAAAGACAAATTACTAGACATTTATCACAAAATGTTGTAAATACTCTGCTGTCAACTTAGTCAAGTGGAGCTAGTCATAATACGGCGGCATCCACATCAACTTTTTACACTTTTGACTTCTTCTTGAAAACCACAAGTTGCTTGGATACTTGGGTGGATTTGTTCATTTCATGACGAAACGGGGACTTATGTTTAGACCTTCGTGTGTTTGTACGTGCATGCGTCTGTGTGTGCTTCTGACCTGTATCTTAGAAATGCCTGGACCAATCACAATCAAACTTCACACCAGGGTTCTGCCCACGCCGGACGGTGCCGTCCGGCACTCGAATAAAAAAGCCGGCACAAAAAGTTGCCGGCCGGCACTATTGTTTACTTGAAATGTACGCATTCATGTTGGGTTGGGTGGTACGCGATCACGTTGCAGACGTCCGGTGTCCAGATTTTGGTTAAGACCAAATCAATGAATGGAGTTGCTATACTCTCTATTATGGTGTTTCGACACCTCTTTAGCGATCGGAGATTGTTCTGATGGCAAAAATATCACGCCTTTACCAGGACAAGTGATCAGAGCTCGCCGCTACTTGTGGGCTGTCATTCAAACAATGGAAGTGTGAAACATTGATTGCTGGTCGTTGAGTTTTTTATCTCACCACAGTCGAGACTGACTGATCACGTGAATTAAAACGTCACTGTGATTGAAGTAAAAATTCGAGCTGTGAAAGTGCCAGCAAATGAAATGCTTTGCATAAAAGTTAGACGAAAGATACATCATCAGAACCTCCACTGCCTAGCACGAGAGTACACTGTTTACTTACCGATGCAATCTATTACGCTGAACTTTACACTATGCTGAAATTTATAACCTTGAGTAAACGCAAGAATGTCAACCAAGGCAAAAACAAATTTTGAGTGCAGAAAGTCGACGATGCCAGTGAATAATCTGTGACTCCTACTCGGCGTAAACAAGCTTCAAGTTTTCGAAACGAGTGGGTCAGAGGTCGTGACTGGCTTTATTTTATTCCTGGCGAGGGAATGTACTGCAAATTGTGTCAGAAGTACAACATGTGTCCATATGATCGAGATACATGGAATAAAACCCCATCCAGGCATATCAGACTGTGCACTGTCAAGGAGCACGAACAGACAACAGGTCATCAAGATGCCACGAAACTTGAGTTGACAGCCGATGCTAGTCAAAACATTGGGGAAATCATTCAACCTGAAGTCAACAGAGATGCCATCACATCGGCCTTCACCGTTTTATATTTCCTGGCGAAACAACGTATCCCGCACACAACAAACTTCGAGCCAGTACTAGATCTACTTTCACAGCTCGGTTTGTCAGTGAAGAAAAATCTACGAGTCAGCAAGAATGCAACGTATTGCAGCGACAAGTCAATCCAAGAAATGTTAACAATATTATCATCCACAATTGAAGAAAGCACTATTGAGCAACTT